TGGTGGACCCTGGGGCTTCTGCCTGGTCACCCAGAGCACTGCCCCTCCCAGCCTCACCCCCGCCTTTCCTTCCAGATCCCTGTCACCCAGGCCTGCCTCATGGAGGACATAGAGCAGTGGCTGTCTGCCGACGTGGTGAGTCTGGCAGGGAATCCCGTTTTTCTCCTGAAGACTGAGCGGCCCCAACAGACCCCCATTAAGTACGCCCAGTGTGGCACAAAAAAGGAAAGAAGGAGCGGCCGCGAGACGGTAGAGGGCTGGGGACACAGCTCAGCTGATAGAGCGCTTGCCTCACATGCACAAGGTCCTGGCTTCAGTCCCAGCACCACACACAAAAAAGATGAGGGTAGAGTTGTCCCCCAGAGGGACCAGGGTGAACATCTGGTCCCCGTTCCTGGCCACCATCTGCCTCCCCCTGGCACGGCACCCTTCCAGGTTCTTGATCCTGGTGTGAGGCCCCAGGGGGTGCAGCCCCCCCAGGGGAGACACCATCAGCGGTGCCGGCCACCGTCCCTGCAGCACCCATGGCGACTTCAGCCACTGTCAGGGAGACAGGCTTGCCCCCTGGCATGGATAGAAGACTGCCAGGCAGCTCAGGGGCCCAGCCCAGGAAAATTCGCCACTCGTCTCTAATGGAGGCACCGGGGCAGGCGTCCACGCCCCCAAGCCCTGCGAGCCTGCCCCTGGAGACCAGAAGGAGCAGGAGTGACCAGGGCTCCTACCCCAGTATCCATCACCCACCTCTCTGAGCACCAAGGACCAGACAAGAATCTGGAACTTGGGGCTAGAGGCTGCTTCTGCCAGCGGAGAGACCAGGCCCGTGCCCAAGTCAGCCAGGGGCGAGGACTCGGGGCCTCCTGTCTGGGGGCAGATGCCCCAGCCCCTCCCCAGCCCTCACCTCCAGCACAGTGGCCCCACATCTGGGTGTCAGCCTTCCCTCCATGGGGCCAGATTGTCCACCCAGTTGGGCCCTAGGAGGGAAGGACCTAGCCCCACGGGGGGTCCCTGGGCAGCACACCAGGGCCGGACAGTCTGTGTAGCTCGCCAAGTGAGTCCCAGCCTCCCTGCTTGAAGGAAGGAGAAACCAAAGCTCAAGGAAGTCGGGGACACCCAAGACCTGCAGCTCAGTGGAGTGGGGCCCCGGGCCCCGGTGTGTCACCCAGGCCAGTTCCACAGGGCCATGCTGGGCGGATGAGCCCCGTGGCCCTCTGACCTCTGTCTCCGTCTTCTTCAGGGCAATAACGCCGAGGAGCCCACGGGCGTCACCAGTGAAGGTAGTACCCCTCCCGCCCACTCCCGTCCCCAGGGACCTGCCTCCCAGCCCACCCCTGTCTCTCTCCCACTAGAGTTTGACAAGTTCCTGGAAGAACGGGCCAAAGCTGCCGAGCGGCTGCCCAATCTCAGCCCCTCAGCCGAGGGCCCACCAGGACCCCCTCCTGGCGCAGCCCCTCGGAAGAAGACCCAGGAGAAGGACGAGGACATGCTGTTTGCCTTATGAGCCAGGGCCTGCTGCTCCCTGCCCTGGGCTCTCCCTCCCCCGTCACTGCTGTGGCTGGGTACCCCTCTTTCCGTGAGGATGGAGCTGGGCCGTGCTACTCCGGGGAGGGGGACGGCGGGATGCACTGGGGACGGGGTTGGCTCTCCACTGGACCCCGGCTGCTCGGCCCCTTCCCCACACCAGCCACCACAGCCGCTGGGAACTGGGGGGCTCCAGGCAGCTGCCTGGTTGCTTGGTGCCCCAGTGTGGCTCTCCTTTCCTGTCCCCAGAGGAGCCTCGGAGCCCACACTGCCCGCCGAGGCCTTACCCATTCCCGGTGCCTCGGGGGGCTCGGAGGCCTTGGCTTGCTGTGCAGGGCGGGGGCGGAGGCTGTGCTGAGCTGCTGTCTGGGTAGGTCACCCACCCTAGGGGCAAGGCCTTGCCAGCCCTCAGCTGCCAGATGAGGCCTTGGGGCCCCGGGACCCCACTCCCTCACTACCTTCCCCTCCTCTCCGTCTCCCGGCAGTCCTGTGCCCTGTTGGAAGATCCAGGGCGAGGTGCCTTTTGTACCCTCCAATAAAGAGAAAACCACCCTGCTGGCTGCGTCTCTCTGAGCAGCAGAGCGCCTGGGTCTTGGGGCACCACCTTTTTGGGTCCGGACTCCACACCAGGCCCCCAGGAGGGTCTGCTGTGGGCTCTAGGCACCCTCCGGCCCAGCCCTGTTGGTGGTGGTCAGAAGAGCTGGCCCCAGGGCCCCAGAGATTGACCTGCCTGAGGAGAGCAGCAGGGTCAGCACACCTAGGTCTGCGGGGCGGGGCTCCCGAGTGTGGCCAGGCTGCGGGCAGCTCCTGCTCCAGCGCACTCTGTCTGGGTGGCACCTGTGCTCTGAGGCATGGCCTGGAGCTGGGGACGTGGCAGATCAGATGCGGCCCAGCCCTGCAGGCACCGCGGAGGCAAAGAAAGCGGCTTCAAGGCAGGCCCCATGGACCCCAGGCCCACCCTGTCCCCCACGCAGGGGACAGGCCTGCAGTGCTGCCCCCAGGGCAACTCATGGTCCAGGCCAAGCTTCAGGGCTTGCAGATGAGCCAGGGCCCCGTCGTACCTGGCCTGTCCTAGCCACCCCTCACGACATCCCAGTGGGGACCGTGCTTCGAACACCACTTGCAGTGGGGAGGCTGAGGCTCCGGGAGGCACTGACTGATGGGAGAGAGGGACCCTGGTCCCCTCACCCTGCAGCCCACCTGCCCTGCCGCTCCCTACGGCCTGCTCCCTCAGTCTCCCCCCAACGGAGTCTTTAGGGGAATCGTGATTTCATGAGGATCAAAATCTTCTCTGTGGCCACCAGGAAGCCCAAGGAACCTTCCATGGGTGGCTCTAGGGGCCCTGAGCCCCGCTGTGCCCAGGTGTGGTCCTGGGGAGGAGGGAAGCCTGAGGACGTGGTGCTCCTGCAGGACAGGCGATGAGGACACCCCACATCTGTGCCCGCTGTGAGATGAAGGACAGAGTCACTGGATGCCAGCACCAAGCCGGGAGCTGGGAGGCTGGGAGGTGGAGCCAGAGAGCTGGGGTGCAGAGAGAAAGGGCCCCGTGGGGTCCCTGGGCTCCCGCTGGCTGAGACTGGCTGCAGGGAGCTTTCCTCCTCCAGAGAGGAGGCTGCGGGGCTGGGCGGTGGTGAGGGAGGCCCTGGCAGGAGGCCATCAGGACGGCCAGGCTGAGTCCCCGTCCTACAACAGCGTGAGAAAGGAGCAGCTGCCTGGTGGGGCCTTGGGTGGCAGAGGGGAGTGTGACTGTCCCCTTGGTCCTGGTCACAACTGGAAGGCCACCGCGGGCCCGGGACAAGATGGCATCAGGGAGGGGCTGGAACAGAGCCAAGCCAGGCCCTTGAGGGCAGCCTGGACTTGTAAGGAAGTGCTCACCTGAGCCGCCCAGAAGCTCTTGCAGAACCTGCACCCTTGCCCCACCCTGGACCCTGGACCTGGAACAGTGACCTCTCTACCTCCTGCCAGGTCAGTGTCCACGTCCTGACCTCTCCAGCTGTCACCCATCAGCAAGTCCTAATGCAGCCTCTTCTGAGCTGTGTGTGGTCAGGTGAATGACTTACCTCTCTGCCTCAGTTTCCTCATGCATAAAATGGGCTAATAACAGTTGTTCCATCACGGGGGTCTGGGGGTTGACTGAGCGAACAGGTAGCACAGCGCCGGCCACAGAGTCATCCCGTTTTCCATTCCAGCATGGCCCCTGCTCCGGACACCCGGTTCAGAGCACTGCCCCCGGTCCTGGGTAATTTCAGGGACACGGGCTCATCTTCCCAGCTCTCCTGTGTGGTCTCTCCCTTCAGGGCTACCTCTCTGCCTTCTCCCCAGCAGGCGAGAACCAGAGAATGTGCCTGCCCCTCCTCTTCGTTTAGGCTGCTCCAGCTGCCTTCATCCCAGCCACAGGAGCAGACAGGGGGGGGGCGCACCATCGTGTAGTGGGGGCTCCAGGAAGCCCTGCCTCTCTAAGGTGGCCAGATGCTCTGGCTGGGCGCTACAGGCCCTGGCCCTG